AGAGAGAGAGAGAGAGGATGAGAGAGGAGAGAGCGAGAGAGAGGAGAGAGGAGAGAGAGAGGAGGAGAGGGAGAGAGAGAGAGAGAGAGAGAGAGAGAGAGAGAGAGAGAGAGAGAGAGAGAGAGAGAGAGAGAGAGAGAGAGAGAGAGAGAGAGAGTTCGCCAAACGGAGCGCCAACAGCCCAGGCGGCGGGTTCGCGGCCCGCTCAGCACGGACGCCTATGACCAACCATGCACCACTGCACCCCGGTCCGCGGTCCCTCCACCCGCCGGCCGGCGGGCCAGTTCCGGGAGGCGGCAGACGGCCCGGTCCGACCCGTGTCCGTGACCAGTCCGTGCCGCCGTGAGCCGCCCGCCCTGCAGACGCCCCGGCCTGCCGCGCTGGACCGACCAAATCGTGCCGGGGACCGCCTCCCCTACCCCGCTGATGGGGGAGGGGCGGGCAGCAGGGGCGGCCGCTCGCGAGCTACCCACGCTAGGCAGTGTCGAACTGGAGAAGAACGCTGCTCAAACCGATACAACAGCGTGGTGGTTTGGCAAGCTACGTACATACTGTCCCGACATTGCCTTCAAATATATAAACGGTAGATGCGGCAGATGGACTGTCCTTGGTGAAGTATAAACGGTAGACGTCGCTAGCCAGACTGCACTAGCAATTCGTGCAACTTTATAAATGGCCCATCAACCCGCAGAAAAAATGACATGGAAACAATTCAGCAGGCAAATGTTACAGCAGGAAATAGCCAGAATCACTGCGGTAAGCAGAGACCAATAAACTACACTCAATGGCTATTCAATCTCATCTTATTGCGCCGAGTGCAGACGGTTGGCTGCCCACGGGTGACCTTGGCCGACCGTGGGGCCCCTGAGTAGCACGCGACACGATTACTGGCTCATGCACCATCTAAATACTGCGCCGGCCAGTGGCAAACACGACACGGCAAACTGAATGGGCGTCAGTACTGCATTGGGCTGAGTGAATTTCGTTAATCGTGTGATTTTGTAGCGGCTGAACAGTGAGCACTGAGCAGCATCCATATTTTAAGTCTTTGAAACTGTCCAGGTATATTAGCAGTAAAGCACGTTTCCCAAGAGTCACGCATTATAAATCAAGATAAATGATCGGGCTGGTTTTGTGACATCAAACCGCCTCACTAATGACGGGAAACACATTCCATCTGCCGCCATTAGTCGTGAAACTGACCGCAGATACACTAGCGTGCGGCGGTGCGACGGGCTGGGAGTGGGCAGTGGGCACCCGGGCCGGACCATAGCCAATACAGACAGATAACGAATAAGCTCCCCCCAACTGAATCAAGCCAGGAATACAGTCGACACAAGCAGGCAGGTATCGAATCCAGCGACCCCTGGCCCGACATAGACACAGACAGGTATCGAATCCAGCGACCACCGACCCGACGTAGACAGACGGGTATCGAATCCAGCGACCACCGACTCGACACAGACACAGACACAGACACAGACGGGTATCGAATCCAGCGACCACCGACTCGACACAGACACAGACGGGTATCGAATCCAGCGACCACCGACTCGACACAGACACAGACTACCCGGTGGTCGAATCCAGCGACCACCGGCTCGACACAGACACAGACACAGACAGTCAGACAGGCATCGAATCCAGCGACCCGTGCCCGCTACCTGACTGCGGCTGTAACCAGGCGGCTGGGGACAGGGCCCAGCCGACACCGCTCAACCGAGCGCTAACGTTGGGAAACGGTGACCGGACGCCCACGGGCAAACGCCCCCATCCCGGCACCCTCGGGCAGCAACCCGTTTCCGGCGCCCACGGGGACGCCCCCAATTTTGGCGCCCCCGCCCCCCCGTTCCAGCGCCCAGATACACCCTCTATGCCCACACCCAGGTAAGCCTGGTAAGAGTAACTCCACCGCGAGCGGCAGCGGCGGCCGCGCCCCGCGCCCGCTCCGAACGCTAATGGTCCAATACAAGGCCGACGCCGGCATTACCCAGCACAATGGCGGCGGTAATACAGCGATGTTGGTTTATGACATCCGATATGGCTGGCCAGACAGGTCCTCCGATGGCCAAGGACGGCCCAGGCAACCAAGCGGACTGCATATGCAAGCATCCTATGAGAATAGGTACTTTATCACAAGAGTCTTATCATTTTCAATCTTCATGGACTATATTTCTATTACAATTTGCATACTGTGTATTGCAAATATGAATACTGATGCAGGGATGTCAGACCTTGGGCGCATCTCAGTCCTCAGGTTGGCATATTAAGACAGCATCCCGGCCTGTCTGCACATAGCCCATCCCTCTACCCCGAGTGTTGGCCATGCGTATGACGTCACCATGACGTCAGCCCCTCTCCCACGGCGGCACGGGAGGCATCGGTCACAGCTCAAGGGGGAGGGGCGGGGTCAGCTCTCATCCATGCTTATCCCAGTATAAACAGCGGAGTGCTGGGGACGAGCTCTAGGACAGGCGGTCTGTACATACAGCGCGGCACGGCTGCAGGGGAGGCCAGGGAGGGAGGTACTCCGCCGGGAGCTAACGCTGGCAGCCGTGGCGGAGGCAGTGCAGAGATTTGGAGGCCGCGGGGGACACAGGAGATTACCGGGCTGCTTCAAGAGATCGTTGTGCAGATTACCATCGAAACGGAACAGAGGTCAACGAGTACATAATCTGTGATGGATTCGATGAGGCTCGGCATTTCGCGAGCGCAACCACCAAATCTCTGCACAGGGGCCGCGGCGCGGTGGGCTGCGGGGCGGGCGGCGGCGCGTGACGGAACCCACCTATGGTATGAACCTCGTGCAGCTGCGGTTGCAGACGCAGGTTGCAGCGGACGCCGTCGTTGCAGCACGCGCTGGCGTACGTCTTATTGTTACGCTCGATGCCGTGGCACACGATCGGGTTGTCGCGCGGCGTCAGCATCACACGCGACAGGCACCTAGCGGCAGGGGCAGCGTTAGACGGGTGGCCAGCGGCGCCGCCGGCGGCTGTTAGAACAGTCACACGCACACACACGGGGTGCAGGCAGGCATGCTGACAAACAGGCAGCCAGATGGACGATCAGTCAACTCAGTTCGACAGGCAGAGGATACCAGGCACAGAGCTCACGGCGGACCGGCCATTCATACAGCCATGTTCAGACCAGAGCGAATTTGACAGCCCCTCACCTGAGCCCGTACGTTTTCTGTCGGCAGATGCGCTCAGCTAGGTACCTAAGAGCCTTAGTCGAACCCGCGGTAGACGGCCGGAGCTTCAGGGTCAGGTTGCCACACAGGTAAAGCAGCGACCAGAAACCAAGCCAGTTACCTCTCATCTTTCCGCTCAATATCCTAAGCCTTGGGTACTCTAAGCTTCTATGGAAACGGAACATCTTGGAATCTAGAGCTATCGCATCAGCTGTTTATCAGGGAACTTTATATGGTCTTCACGGCGGTATTGAAGAGGACTTTATCCCAGTTCCTTCTCACTGAAGAGATCGCATCGAGTGGACTACCGATATATGACAAAAAAAGAGAAAACCGATCGGGCAATATCTCAGGGGTCCTCCTTAGGAAGAGTCTCTGAGTTTTACCCTTTGTCCAGCACACGTGCAGTGCCGAGTGGGGCTTCCTCACCAGCCCGCCCCAGGGATCAGTAGCCGAGGCACCGCCACGGGCGGCACTCACACGAGCGGAGACTGCCAACGACTTTAGATGATAATGTGATTACAAGCCCTCTCAGTGGCGTCCTCGCCGTGCCGTCTCGACCATTGGGCCGGCGGAGTGCTGTGATTGCTATCGGCAGTCAGGAAATCGCATCCACGAGCCTATGAACATATATCAACCTCGCTAGAATCAATCCCTCGCACCTTGGCATGAGCGATTAATACGAACAATATTTGTATTTGAATAGGCTCTTGCATGCGATTTTCTAACTACGGAAAGAGTCTGTTTCAGCCTTGGTGACCGCAGAGCGGACGAAAGTACGGTTAGAAACGCTACGTTAGACGGTCCAGTCGCATACCATGAGTGGCCAGACCATGACAACGAGCAAAGCCAGCGGAACACTCTTGACAGCACGAAAACAAAGGGAGTCCCCTAGAATTGGACCCAACATAGGATATTACGCGACAGTTACAAATACAATCGAAACGATCATAACGGGACTGGAACGAAAAGCGAACAAACATGCAGAGCTTTTAAATGTAGGAGAAATCAGCGCTTGTGCCAGAACAGTGGAAAACACCACAAGGACTAAGCGATGGGAAGCTAGGTAAGTATGTACCTCTGGCAAACAGCAAAGAGATCGACTATAGGATGGACACGCGACAGATATCGAGAACTACAGGGCGTGGGCGAACGCTGGAACCAAGCAACAGGAAAACGAAATCGACTGCTCAGAGATGGGTGTCAAAGGCTCACATTAGCGGGAAACTCGGGACGGGCCGCTATCAGATACAGACAACAGCAAACGCCGAGTCGCAGACAGCCGCTATGACACAAAGTGAACGAAACAACAAGGAAGAAAGTTGTTACAGACAGGAGCTAACGAAGTCATTAAGCTAATAGGTACAGCCCTCTGCAGACTGCGTGGTAGGTATTCCTTTTTCGACAAAACCGATAATAACTCAAAGGTTATGTTATCAGTCGGTCGGAACTCACTGCAAATAGATGCGCCATGCTCCACTCCTTCGATTAGGTTTATCAATAAACAAAGTTTACGCCTTGTGTGGCGACAAAATGCAAAAGTTTGTTTTGGGGGCAAATATAAACTTTCGGGTTTAATTGCCGAACTAGATGAAAAATGGATACGGTGATGATGCCAATCTAAGGGGCGGGGTCTAGCGCGTCTTGCTGTTACGATTTCCGAATGACCGATAGCATAGTATTCGCGTTATTCTCATTTTGTCGAAAAAAGAATACCTACCACGCAGTTTGCAGAGGGCTGTACAAGTGTACATCATCGTTGTGCTTTTCACAACACGCAAAGGGCTAAAAATCAAACTGCATAGGCCGGTCAGCAGTAACTTATGCGTGACAAGCCTTTTATCGTATACATAACGTTCCTGACAAAATGCACGATAGTCCGGCAAAAATATAAATCAACTGATGGAACACCGTAATATGCTCAGAAAAGGAGTTAGGAATGCAAGAAAAGAAGTCCATTGACAATACCAGCTTTCCAAATAATGGAAATTGTGCAAAATGTATAGCCACCAGCTGATAAATGCTAGACAGAGTGGACCTATACTACCATTAGTGCTTATACATACAACACATTGAAACTTCACCATGGCAGAACTAGCCCAATAGCATGTTGCCAAAACAGACAATTGATACTAACTTGTACTTTTTGGTGATATCTTGCGACTGGGGGTTTTTGCGCTCCACTGAGGTGAAGCACATGCCGTCCGTCTCGCAGGTGCCATTCTGAGAACCATGACACTCGCTGCACTCGCATATGAGACCTGCGGCAGGAAGACAGGACAGATGGTCAGTGAGTGGCCACCGACATAACTATACATGCAGCAGGCCAGTTGTAGGTGGTGGGCCGCACTGGAACACTGTAAATATTTTATCTGAAAGGATCGAAAGCCCACAAAGTAATAAATCCCTCCCAGCCTTGCACCTTCATTGGAAATTGGATAAAAAGAAATATATCGAGGTGTGTTCTAACTAGTATTTCTATTCAATCAGATGAGATATCAGGGTTATTGTACCTAACAAGATAGGAGCCAACTTTTTCAGCCCCTGAAAGTGGTAAACGCCCAGACTGAAAAACGTGACTTTTGATGAGATCTCGGGCGTGCACGCGGCATCCGCTAGCCTCACTCAGGCGTGCATTTCAAATAACAGGCGTGCAAGGCCCAGGCTCGCAAGAGTGCCATGACAAATCAGGCCGTATATGCCTGGAGAGCTCCTACTCGAAGCTTGCTAATGAAACAAACACCAAATTTGTGGACGGACGTTGTTTAAGTGGCCCAACTACCACACATTTGTGTCAGCGACGCGCTGTTCTTTGGGATCAAATGTGCGACAGTTCACTAGTGTGGACATTACCACGAATTCCGGTATTTCAGTGCAGCTTATATTATACAGGTGACGGGCAGAGGAGCCTCTGTCGAATGGCGTAACTCGGTTGTTTGAGTTTTGTTTGATAATGCTATGCGTGCATTTGGGGAAGGTCGGCTGTGGGCCAGTTCAGGTCAACCAGCACGTGTTCCACCAGTTGTTCTTGGCCAGTATTTACCAACAACATGATGCCTCTGTCCCTATGTCCTAATGTAGTCCCTAAAAGTAGTTCCCTAATCCCCAACTTAATGCCAACTTTGTTATTGGCTACAAAAACTGTTACCCAAATGAATATTAAAAATAAAGTCCACCTTGCTGTGCTTGTGCAAGGCATGTAAGCTTGAACTTGAAACGCCATGTGTCAGGCATTCAAATTATGGCACAGGCATGCACTCCTGCTTGCCAGGAATGCACTCCCATCAGACTGGGCACACCTCAGGCATGCACATGTCACGTTTTGCAGACTGACTGAACCCTAAGCTAACAGAAAACCTCCCCTTTCATGTAGCCTTAAACAGGACACACATAGACAGAAAATTACTCTTACCATAGCAGGTGCCAGCAAGCAGCAATGATGAGATGACTATGGTGTTAATGAAATGTAAGGCCATGGCAAACAGTATGCCATTCACAAAGCAATTGATTATCTTGACTTATTGGCAGGTATTGGCATTCTGCTGTTCTTCAGTGATGACATATCAAAAGCCTGAAAATAAACACACTATCATTATTCAGTAGAAGAACAAACTGTAAGGACTTAGCATAAAACAAGCAGAAATATTCTAGCAGGCATCACAGGTGCTGCCACTCTTTTGTGAAAGGACACTAGATTCACCAGCTCGAGATATTTACACAAGTTTTGCTATAAGTTGCACATCACTAGGTTATAGGTTGTAGGTTAGGAGGCGAGGTAAGATCAGGTTAGATTTTGTTTTATTAGAGACTATTTGATAGGCAAAATGTGTTTAAATGTCTCAATTACCAGGAAATCTAATGACTTCCCAAAGGGATGGAAGCACCAGTGATACCTGCTATAAAATCCATATGCATATGCAACAACACCTGCTATAAAACTTTTTGCATAGCTCATGGTTGGTTGGCTTGGGTTACAGTTTAACACTGTATCCAGTGGACCAAGTGCTAACTGGTATTCTCATGCTGTTCCAAGCTGAAGCAGCCAGGCAGCATCAATGCCACTTGGATTGCCTGGGAATGGAACCTGGATGGCTAAATCCAGAGTGAGAGGCAAGGAATTTAGGTAGGTACCCCATAGACCAGAATAACCCCCTTGCATAGCTCATGATGAACTCATAACTAATCAAATGTTACAATATGTTAAAAAGAAAAGCTAGTTTATCATCTGCATAACATCAGCTAATGGCTACAGTTCCTTTCATGTTGCACCCAGGCCCATGTCACTCCTGTTTTGATGGCATCCTAAGGGGGCCCCAGCCCCCAGGAAAATTGAAATAATGGCAGGTGCGCCACAATCGCTTCCAAGTTACTTGCCAATAGCTGCCATTTTTGAAAATATTGTTTTGAAATTAAAGTAACTAACAATAAAAATATTGGGTTAAAGTATCAAATATTGTAATAACATTGGTTATTGAATCGTTATCTCATAAAAAAACTTACTGAAAAAAATGATTTCTTCATGGTAAAAATTGAAGCTTGATGCATTTTTACTCTGCTTTCCTGCTACTGCAGAGGGTTTTTAAATTGTCTTTATCAATATCTTCAAAACCAGTTATTTCTTAGCATATTGCTGCCCTTTTTTGCAGGGGCGGCGGATTCGGGGGGGCAGGGGGGGGGGGGCAGCTGCCCCCCCTGGCAAAATCGTGGGGGGGCAAAAGTATCTTTTTGCCCCCCCATAATTTGTGACAAAGCTTAGACAAGAAACCATATACCTGATTATTCTGTTCGATCATCTGAAGATGTAACCAGATGCCCATATACATTCATACGTTGCCTTTCTTAAATGGCAAGCGTTCGCGTTCAATTGAAGTTTTCCTCTCTTCAACCTAGTTTTGGAGGCATTATAAGCGTCAACGTGACGCAGCGGCAACCCAGGCCTTCAGTGACCGCTTACAGGGGCGACAGATACGGGGTGGCAGAGGAGGCATCGTCCCCTAACAAACTTTTGGAGGAGGGGCAAACGTATATTCTTGCCCCTCCATAATTTGTGCCCTAAACATGGGGAAAATTTCCATAACCTGATATTGCAGCTATGCGCTCCTACAGTTTGTCCAACGGTGCCTTTTGAATATGTGTAAATGCTAACCATTTCCGCTTTATATCATTTTTTGTCTTTTTAGATTCGATTTAGAGATATTTTAAGTGTGCAAGAGACGCAACTCATACCTTCAGTGGTCGTTTGCCGCTATTTTGTACCTACATAAATGCCAAATCGCAAGCGAGCGGAGACGGAAGGGCTAGCCATTCGCTTGCGGGTAGTTAGGACTGATGAGCGCTCATAATAAGCCACGGTTGTACGCATTGACCACATTGACCAATGCATGGTATGGTATGGCACCCAAAGGCCAGTCATCATAGATCTGCTTTGGGCATTCGGAGGCTTGTGTGGGGCCAGTGTTAAAACTGGATGTCCACAGTTCAGTATCCGCTTTATTTCAGTTTTCACTATTAAAAAAGTAAAAATTAATGTTGGAAACTTTTGAGGGTTAGGGCACTGATCATTAGTGCCCCCCTCCCCCCCTCTGTCTAAAGGCTGGCTATAGAATAAAGAGCATCAAACACGAACAGTAGCGGCGGAACACCTTCAATTAGGGGGGGGGGGGCACTGCCGACTTTTGGTCCCATTCTTTCCATGCAACGCCCATAGGGCTAACGTTAAAATGCCAAAATCAAAGGGGGCACGGTGCCCCGGTGCCCTCCCCGTTCCGCCGCCTATGAACACGAAAGCAAAATCTAAGGCATTTTGGAAAAATGAGTATGCCCCGCAGCGTCGGATAGCTACCACCTTCCAGTGGGTCAAGCCAACGGGGCCCAAGTCTATAATGGCACTTAACGATAGCACTAACCTTGTCTCACATTTCGTTGAAGTCTGTTCCGAATGGTTTCGGCCACAGACTGGCTGCACTAAGGTCGTTTGGTATGTGCAACTGTAATTAAAGCCACCTGAGGCGCCCTGACACCAGGCTGAAGCTGGGTTGGAAATGCTTCGTCTTTGCAGATATCACTGGCCACTGATTCTCGAGTGCCTGAACCGGTAGATGTCGTGGCAAAATTTGGTGTGATAATTTGGACCTCACCGCAGTCAGCACACCCTAAAGCCCTAATAAAGAAACGCCCCGCCCAGAGCTTCTGGATTCCCGTTCCAGTCCACCGTTCCTTCACCTCAGCCCGCCGCCGCGCTCCCTCACCCTCCGTTCCCAGCTTGACGAGCGTTTGGGCCTTAGTTAAGCCTTGCTGTAGGCTTACTGTATAAACCCATCGAGACAGCCCGTCTCGGTGAGCTTATTTGGTGAACTACTGCTTTGGGGAGGGTTTCTGGCGGATCGCTGTCCCAATATGTTTAGATGCGACCGACTGTCTTTGAATGTTTGAGCGGTCTCCTCCCGCTGTGAGCTAGTTTCAGTTGATATCTGTCTCAGAAATACTTTTTAAAGGAAGGTTAAATGGAAATCGAACGTAAAATGAACAGAGGAAATGGTAACGAGCTACCTCATTGCAAAGAATAGCGCGCGCCTACTTCAAAAGGTTTGGCACCGTTCTTCAACATCTGATATGCGATCGGGTTATGGCACAATTTTTCCCATTGGAGCTTTTTTCTAATACAGCAATACGAAAAGCGTTACATCGTCCACTGGCGGATTCAGGGAGCGAGCATTTAAAGCAAATATTTACTCCCCCTCCCCTGGCCCCTGCATCGCCCGAAATAGACAAATATGTTTCCTTATAATAACACTTTTATCAGGATTTTTTTTTTTTGCTGTTCAGCAGTAAGTCCGTAAGGAATCGAAATCCGAGGAGTTTTTGGATTTTGGACACTTTTTTTGGGGTATGTCCCTTACAGCGTCGAAAACGCCTTTCTGGATCCGCCTATGACATCATCTCGACTGGGATCTTGCCCCCCCACGCCAAAATCGAATCCGCCGCCACTGCTTTTTTGTCGCTAGAATGATAAAATTAGTTGGGCTTTCCATTGACATCAATGGTTGGGCGGTATTTGTAGAGTGCCATCAATGATCTTCAAATGAAAATAGTCATTTTCATGTTGGAAAGGAATGGAGTACCCCTTGCGAGCATCAGGGGGACGTCACTCAGGATGTCTCTGATTTGGATTAGTCGGCAGGGGAGTGACCGTACCTTCTATATCAAAGATGGTCTTCGTTGTACCAAATGATTGACAGTGGTGTTATGCATTGCTTGTTGCGGGGTACCTACCTATGCACTTTTATCGATGACTAGGGTTTACTTCAACTTAGGTACTTGTACTACAACAAACAAATTTGCCACCGAATACCAATGGCTATAGTTTGTTTTAATGCTATGGCGAAATTAAAGTAAAGATTCAAATTATTTCAAATGATTAATTTCCTGATACACCACTGACCACAGTGTCCTAGTCAATGCCAATCACACACCCACGGGTACTACAAAACACACACACACCCCACACACACCCCATCCCCTCCTCTCTACCTCTGAATAATATTTACAACACTCATCTGCCTCGATTTCACATCAAGTGCGTACAGTTCGCTACCAAACAAATAATGCCATACCTACCCCAAGCTGGTTTATCACGTGACTTCTTCGAGTAAGTTTTGCTGAATTGGAAAGTTAGATTTTAAATTTTCAAATCAAAGTACATTAAATAAATCAAAAACTATTTTAAACCGTGTTCTCACTGCAAAAACAGCGTGATTTTAAAAATATTTCAAAAAATTGAAACTTCAGACAAATGTCACAGACAGCAAGCGTGAGCAAATAGGTGGTCATCCGCCAGACATATTTGTACACCAAACATTCTCAACTGTCTGAAAAATGTCTGAAAATGCTTGAAAACTGAAAAGGTTGTTGAAATTTGAATGTAACACTTAATAGTAATTTCTCTCGTTGTTTTCGGAATGAGAGAGGCAATGAACTTCAAACTGGAACAAAAAGTGTCATGACGATTCGTCAATGAATGACGAATCGTCATTCGACGGCAGGGATCATCGAGATGGAGTCGGAGTCCGGAGTCGACAATTCTGCCCGGAATCGATGTCGGAGTTGGTTTTTTGAAATTGGTGTCGGAGTCACCGAAAATGAATCGACTCCGCAGAGCTCCGCAACTCGCGTTTGAACTTTGCCAAGGCGCCCGGCGAGCCGTAATCCGTCGCCGTAATCGGCATAGGTACTGGTACACAGGGGCGTCGACACCGGTCCGACTTTTCCGACTAGTCGGACCACTTTTTCGACTAGGCGGTGCCCTGCTGTGGCTCGCGGGGGCCCCTGCTGCAGACCGCGGGGGCCCTACTGCGGCTCGGGGGGCCCTGCTAGAGACCGCGGGGGCCCTGCTGCGCCTCGACACCTGGGGGCCCCCACCGGTGGGGGCCCCCCGAGAAAAAGTCGGACCAGTTTTCCTTACGCGTCGACGCCCCTGCTGGTACATACATACATACATACATACATACATACATACATACATACATACATACATACATACATACATACATTGCGCGTCGTGCTACGATTTGACAACCGAATCGTAGCGTTTCTTCTCATTCTTTTGTAAATATCTCTAGAAGTGTACCGTTTGTCGCTAGGACAACGTAAAGAAAGCTATAGTGGTGAAAACACAAAGGAAAATTAATTTTAGCTTTTGTATCCCAATTATCTAAAATTCAATCATTTAAAATTAATTTTGTTTTGTCAGTCCTTTCGTTTTCATCAAAAAATAAAGTTTTATCAAAAAATAATTTTGTTCTTCACTATATAGCGGTAGTTTTTGCGGCGTCGAATGGTGTGTTTTGTTGTTGAATTCCGTAGGGTTTTATTATTAACATTTGAGGGTATGTGGTTTGTATTTTTTTCTTTTTAGCTTGTTTTCAAACATTATTGAGACTTGCACAGTATCTATACTTTGATAATGACTGTTTGGTTTATTTGGGTTTTAACACCAGGGCCAGGGGTAATGTGTCATATTGTTATGTGACTTTGACTTCTACAACAAGGGATTTTGCATGATTTGTGATCTTAATTGACTGATTTGCAGATAATTTATTTTCTTACAGATCACCTTGACATCCTGCCATAATTTTTTTAGACAAGTTCTGTGCACCATCGGTGCCTACTAGTCAATAAGTTTTACGTAAGCCACGGGTTTTTATGAGATGACAGATTGACACTGGCGTTTAAGCTCAACTGTTTTGATCAAAGTTAAAAACATCACCACTGAGTGGAATTCAAGATCTTAACCTATCAAAACTCAAAAGACAAATAGATTCTCTACAGTCACTTAAATTCTACTCTGTTGATAGTATAAAACATGGAAACTCAGAGAAATCCTAAAAAAGATGATTTCTTTGGTATATGCCAAATTAAACAAACTCTTGACATTCGGTTCTCCTGCAAGTCCTGCATGATATATGCTGCTATTTAAGTATAAGCATTTGATATAATTATTTATACTAGGTATAAATATAAGTATACCTATGTGCTACACTACAGCACTGCCAACATATTGCCAATTCAATGTTTCTGCAGTGCTGAATACCTATGAATGAGTTGTGATTTCAGCATTACAACACCAGAGGAAAATGCATCAAAATTTCATGAAATGGTATCCAATAAAGTCTCCCTAAAAACTAAACAAAGTTCAACCTAATAAAGCAGCTTACAAGCTGCAAGACTCTAGCATGCAACCTTCTAACCAAGAGCCTACCTTCCTAGGGTACCTACAACATACAGCCTACTTAAAAGTTGAAGGTGCTGTACAGCCTACCTACCTAACCTGTAGCCTTCAGTACTGATAAATTCTGCTGCATTTTAGTTTAGTTTCATCTTGCCTTTTAGTGTAGGTACATACCTGCCACATGATGTGTTGTTACAACATGATATTGTCTGCACCATTGCTAATCTATGTTAAGACTTGCACTGTAAATTAATAGCTTTTTTGTAAAACATTTAATGGTTAAACCTTAATTGTATTACAATTAACTAAGTATAAAGAAGTTAGTAAATACGTACCTATAATTAAATATACAAGCTTGAATATTTTATATCAACCATCCATTAAATACATACTGTATTACAGCTGAATGTGTACCACTATACCTTCAATTTTTTCAGGCTGAAGTCTCTGCAGATCCTTACCAAGAAGCTCCAGGGTATGGCAAATTATCATTAATTTACCAAACCTAAGATGCTTATGAGATTTAAAGACTACAATGAACTTGAAAACTGTGTTAGATAGAATGGAGTTATTCAGTTATTGGATGTCATTGGTTTGGTACCAACTTAACTTCTGCATAAATGCTTGCTTCCATTCCCTGCATTATGTGCTGAATCCCTGAATCCCTGAATCTTGGTCATGTTACAGCTAAAACCAACGCTATGCCCGTCTTCTGGCCCGATGTGACTCATCTCTGGTGTCTGACCCAGTATATCACGACCCCTGTGTCTGCCCTTACATGCTACGTCTCAAGGTCTTTCCTGACGCGATTTGTCCCTGCTCTGCTCCAGGGTGACCCAGACGCCGACACCGGTGGCCCAGGAGGCCGGCTGAACTGACGGCGCAGCCGGCAGGCGCCATGGACCTGAGCGTGAAGAGAGACCCCGCCTCCAAGGTGGGCGAGGCGATCATGGACCTCTCTAGCCGGGGTATCACCGTCACCAGGATGGGCGAGGGCGGTGGGGATGGTAAGCGCCCGGCGCCGGCTGCCGACGGACGCCGCTCGCTGCGGCCGCGGACCGAGAAAAACTACACGGAGGCCACCGAGATGGTGGTGGTCGAGGAGTCGGACGACGATGACGTGGAGAAGCCGCTGCCGCCCATCAAGGAGCTGTCGCCGGCCGAGCTGGCCGAGAAGATGGAGCTGATCCGCCGCTTCCGGGAGGAGCTGCGCAATGAGGAGAGCAAGCTGGTGCTACTGAAGCGAGTGCGGCAGGTACAGGCCAAGGAGAACGTGGCGGCCACACCGCCGCTCAAGACACCGCCGGCGGCTAAGACAGCCAAGACGGCGACCACACCCGGCTTTACCCCTCCGCCGAGCGTCACCATGCTGGTGAAGAGCTCCAGCGGCAGCACCAAGTCGAGCTCGCGCGGTGGCGTCACCAGCGGCAACTCCGGCACCAGCTCTGTGTCGGTGATCCCGACGGGCCGCGGCGCCAGCGCGCACACCACCCTCTCCAGTCTGATGGCCGCGCAGCACGGGCTGCTTAAGAGCCAGGCCGGCTCGCCGCACGCCCAGTTCGCTGGAGCGTACGGCTCGTACCCGCTCACCCCCGAGGTAGAGATCCGACGCGACTCGGCGGCGCACCGGGCACCCGAGCCGGCCCACCACCGTGTGCCCGAACAGACCCCCGAGCAGCGTCAACAGGTGGCCAAGCTGGCGCTGCGGAAACAGCTGGAGAAGACGCTGCTGCAGATCCCGCCGCCCAAGCCGCCGCCGCCCGAGATGGGCTTCATTCCGAGCGGCACCAATACGCCGTTTGTCTACCTGCTTGGTCTGGAAAAGGTTGTGGATTTCATCAAGTCTGAAAATCCGGACACGACCAATTGGGAGAACTTCTCGTGCAGCCAGTGCCGGCGCGACTTTACCACTGTCTGGAAATGGGACCGAAACCGGCCTGGCCGAGTAACCTGCGAGGAATGCGTCACCAGCAACATCAAGAAGAAGCTGAAGGCCGAGCATACCAGTCGCCTCAAGACGGCATTCGTGAAGGCACTCCAACAAGAACAGGAGATTGAGCAGCAGTTAGCCAAAATGGCGGCTGCCTCCCCGGCGCCGTCCAGCGCCTCCACTCCTATGCCGCCCACTCCTGAGACTACCATCACTCCGATCCCGGCCAAACGCGAGCGCGACTCGCACCACCGCGACTCTCACCACGGCCGTGACTCTCACCACTCGTCCCACAGCTCGCGAGACGGTCACCACTCGTCACACAGCAGTCGCGACGCGCACCACTCGGCTCGTGAGGCGCACCACTCTGCTCGCAGCTCACCACACACCGGCCGAGACGCGTACCACGCGCGGGAGGCACACCAGCCGCGCGAGGCCCACCACTCGCGTACGTCTAGTGCCAACAAGCTGGCCGCCGCTGAGGCTGAGTATCTAAAGAAGTTCTCCGACCCCAAGTACGCCTCGGCGCTGATGAACCCGATGATGATGGCGGCGGCCATGAACCAGTCGGCTGCGGCGCTGGCGGCTCAGCAGCAGATGCTCCGTCTGCCCGGCGCGCACGGCCAGGCAGCGCTGCAGCATATGCTCGGGCAGCTCAACCCCATCATGTACTCGTACCAGCTGGCGATGGCGCAGGCAGCCCAGGCAGGCGGCGCGGCGGCCGGCGGCAGCAGCAGCAGCAGCGGCTCCTCCAAGACCACGCAGTCGCTGGCAGACATCCAGCGGCAGTATCTACTGGACATGCTGCCGGCACAGGCGCTGCCGCCAGGCTGGGGCGGCTCGTCCAGCAAGAAGTAGCCGCCGCTGCCACCCTCGCCACTCGGCTGGTACAAAGACGACACGCCTGCGGACAAGCCTGCGCTCGGTGAGTAACAGCATGAGCTGGCGTGTAAACAGGCGAGCTCAGCAGATAGACTGGTGTTGATGTGTGCTCGGGACACCGCAGTGGTTGTTCTGAGGTCTGTCAGCGGGACAGGCAGTATCGCGGTGACGCCGCTCCGTGATGAACTGAGAGGACAGGAGCCGGGCCGGGCCGCCGACCGGTCCGGACACCACAGCTCCATCCATACCCGGTACTGGCGCGCCGCCGCCGTAGCCAATCATGTCGGCCGTATCTCATCCCATGTGCTGCGGTGATCTTCAAGATATCGCGCGGATAGCGTTGTGTGGGGCCACGCCGCCCGCCCCGGCGGTTCGCCGCTGCGGTCAATCCAAAATCAGACATCTATTTATGTATTTGCCGTTGCCTACAGCTGCTTTTGCACGATAATGGTGTCCTGGGGACGGGTGGGGGCGGGCCTGTCGTTCTATCTCGCGCGCGCGCGCGCGTTCGCTCGTTTGTAGCCGGTTTTCTAAACAGTAGCGGCGTCGACGTGTCTGCGTGGCGCGTCTCATGTGTGCGTGAGTTTGTACGTTTCCGCACTGAGTGCTCGGTTCATTGATAGCCCGTCGGGGGAGGTGGCGGGCGCGGGGTGCGCTGCGCGCTCGCCGGCCGTGCCCCGGCGCGCTGTCCCCGTCACGTGTCCACAATAAATGGCGTCTGTCCAGCGCGGCGTGTCTCGCGGGGCGCTGGGCTGGGCTAGAATGACACGATGATTAGAAGTGGTTCGCACACCGCTGGACGAGTAGCGTATATTTTTATTCCGTTTTGCCCTCTGAACTAATTAGTGGCACGGTTTCCGGCCTAGATGCTGACTGCTTAACTAATATGCTAGAAATTTGTAACCACGATAAATCTGTTCCGCATTGTTCGGCAGACGGATCTCGTTTTGCATTCTCTCTTGAAGGTTTGCGTTCTCTCGAGCACTGCCAGCTGTTGCTTTTCACCCGTTACTGCTCTTTCAGAGCGCTCAAAGTGCGGTGTAGCTTCATCTGACCACTCCACCTACTTTCCACTTCCGTCCGACCAGTTCTTAACCCGCGCCCCGTAGGGCTACCGGCGGACCCTACCACCCGTAGGGGGGGGGGGGGCCGTATCGGCCCCCCCCTAAGATCTCGGAAAGTTACCGGCCGATTTTCAAAATTCAAACGGCGTTCGATAGCCCCACCCGGGAACTACCTTGTGACCAAATTTCATTGACCTAGGTCAAACCGATGACGTCACAGGTCAGGTCAAAGGTCAGATTTTCACCGTTCACAGGCAATTCAAGAAATGTGCTGTGAAAGCGAGTAAATTGGTAATTTATTGAAAACCATCGATGGTACATTGTTCGTCAAACACATACTTTGCTATCTGAGGTCACTGATACCAGGTCAGGTCACAGCGAGGTCAGGTCACCGGGGGTCACAATATGAATGTGTCGTGTGATACATGTTTTATGGTCCATTTTACATGACAAATGCGATTATGTGGGTTAGGCAGCCTTTGGGGCCAGCCTAGGTCACGTTTTTGTGAAGGTCAGGTCAAGGTCAGGTCAAATTAGGTCAAATTTCAAAGTTGATATTTTTGCATAAAATGGGTATCGATTCGATGCAGCTCGTCACGGGGAGTCTAATGGTGGTCTTCCTTTTGCTCTACGAGTTCTAGAATTGCCAAAAATTGAGTTTGAAAATTTGACGTCATCATTTTTGAACAGTTTTTTTCGCTATAACTTGGCCAAAAAACGAGGTATCGATCTGAAATTTGGTATGTAGATAGAAGACGGTAGGCACTATCACATATATTCCGGTTTTTTCGAAACTCAAAAAACTTTTTGGATTTTTTGGCGAATATATCCAAAAAAAATGCTTTTTTGATTTTTGGGGGTCAAAACTCAAAAATTTCAAAAATTCGAGATAGCAGTTTTGTAGCCCTGTCAATTTTACACCTTTTATGTCTTGATCATTTTTCTGTATCTTCAAAGCTGTAGTCCTGACAGGTCTTCTCGCGAAGGTCTTTTTTCGGTCGAAAATGACAGAACATGACGTCACTCTGACGTCATTTGTGGCCAACCTGTCTTAGCCTCTGGAAAAATTTTTGGTCACAATGTGTAACATTGATGCCCGGAGGGGTTCTGAAAGTTTGGTGGCGATATCTCCAGCCGTTTAGGAGATATCGACCGAAAAGGACAGGGAGGGGCCGTTTCGGCCCCCCCCCCTACGGGGCGCGGGTTAAGTTATTTTTTTTTTTCATTGGGATAAATAGGTACTCCACGTAAACACATCTTGTCAGTACAGTTGAGCCTATCTGTCCGACCGCTATTGTGTTCACAACTTCGTGAAATGAAAATTTCACGGGATTCAGAAGAGATGATGTCGCATAAACACCACGACCATGCTGTGTGCACCGGTATCGCTGCCATCTGGTGACCGTAGTACCAACTACAGCTGATTAGCTCTGTCCTCTGATCTTGTGGCCCCACCCGCCTTCCAAAGTCCGAAGCCTCGTGCGATATTGGTCAAGTTTATTTGAAAAACATGTCACTACAGCACACTGAAGGGGTTCGAATCCAAAAGTTGGCGTATCCATAAGGTATTTACACACTAGGGTCGAAGTGGGGGTCGCATTGGAGTGGCGAGCGAAGCCGTTCCATCCGGTAGGGCGCTCCGCGCTGACCGCGGAGCTCTGGGGGGCACCCGGGTCACCCCTGTGCGGGGGGTAATCCCCAGCGAACTGTCTGTGATACAACCTATCCCACCGACGGCTAATGGAATGATTTTGCGCCAGATCTTGTCTATATATCACAGAACATTTATCCAGATTCGACAGTAAGCAGCATGGAAAGTGGACAGAAATAAATTAGATACGATAACTGGTAATCTGGGATAGTTAAAACGAGTGATCCAGTTTGGATCGCAACTCATCGTTGGAACTCATTTCTTCTCTGAACTCATAATGCCAACCTGGACTTAATTGCATAATACCGTAATACGCGTCACAGATCAGAAAACAGAGTAGACATAGACCCCGTGAACAGGCCAGAAGCCAGCGACTTGCGTGCCGTTTGCGGGGCCAGCGGAACAGTTTGGTAATGACAAGGTGGCCGCTGTGGCGGCTGAGGTGCTGCTGCTCACCCACAAAACGTGGCATATACGGGTGCTCAAATAAATACACGGGCGCGCGCAGACAATGGTACCGCTGGCGTTGCCACCGGTATGATACATGTAACAACAACAACCAGCAACAACGACACACGCCCAACACTGCCACAGGGGCTAACGACCCGCCGGCGCCGCGGGCAAGGGACCAACTCTGTATTTACAAACATCCACACAAACACACACATAGACACCGACAGACCGTTCTCACAGCGACAACATTCACCTGCCGGCACTCGGCATAGAAGCGAACACAGGCGGCCACAAAGCGAACTAACACTTCCTCATAGTTTTATAGATGACGCGCCAGTAAGCAAATGCATCGCGCGAGCTGTATAGATGACGCTCGCGTAGCTTTGCCTCCCAGTTGAGGCGGAACGGTCCACAACGAGAGTCGCCTTTCCGCACGCCAGTTTCAATAAGCGTGACTCGAGTGCGTCTCTCGTTGACTTCGCGCCAGTCTTTGGACACGAGGGTTACAGCGGCGCGTGTCTTGTTTGCTCTCTCTCTCTCTCTCTCTCTCCCTAGCTCTCGACTAGCATGTGTAGGAACAGCGGCGTCCAGGGCGCCCGCAGCGCCACCTAGGCTGGACACCGCACGGTAGGCGCCGGACGTCACACCAACTTGTCCTAGAGTGATATGTGTTGCAACATTATTCCAGATAGACACGGCTTGAACTAGCCTCAAAGCCCTGCAACAAGAAACGCCAGTCATTGTTTGCGGTTACTGAGCACAGCATTGTTAGGTATAGAGCTTTTGAAAAGGCATGGTACCTAATACCTAATCGTAAACTAATGGGTAAGTTGACATATACATACTTATCGAACAGAAAATGCCATACTTGACAATGAGCCTTGATATCGTATATACATTGATTATGGAGACAATTAGTAACCAGCGTGACCCTCAGAGCAAATTATATCCGCAAATACTCTGGTACCCTTGCCCCATCGCCATCTGTCCAGTTCTTTGCGATTGATGCTGCCACCTATGAGCCTCTGTGAGCACTAACCTTCAGTGACGGCTCGAGGCGGTCCGCTGAGGTGAAGTGGCGCGGGTGAGGAGGTCATCATGTCATCCAGCGCCGTCGGCAGCGGACCCGGAGGCGGAGCCAGGTCCGGAGCTAGGCCCGGAGCCAGGCCCGGAGCCGGAGCCGGGGCCGGCGGCAGCGGAGGAGATGACGACCCCCAGCGCTCCCGGTCATCTGTGGGTCACGAAACAGGGACGGGGTCAGATGCGGGACGGGACGGGAGCGGACAGATAGGGGACGGAACACCAGGTGACAGTCAGGTAGGGGGCAACAAATAACGGGGCAGAATGGACATACAACACCCCAGGCCCGTAATTGGTGTTAGCTCTGAACACTAGGTCCGCGATCGTTTATACGACACATTAGCTGACAGATCATTTATATTCGTGAAGAACATGAAGAACGTGAAGTTAAGAAGCTCCAAGTAACCGTACAGAGATACGGATGGTCAAGTTCATGTCAACTAGACCTATAACTAATTATTACCGGCATATATGTATAGTGCGTAAATGAAACAGTTTTGCGCTGAACACCACTAATCACTGCGCTCTGCTCTGCTCACTAGTTGAGGAGCTAGAGAGAGCAGTACTCCCCAGAGCTCACCACTGTTTGTCTCTGAGCTCTGCCGTACTCGCTAGACGAGTCCCTCTCAGCCCCTCCCGTCTCACCTGGTCGCGGGAGAGGCGGCGTCGGCTGCTCGCTGGCCGGCGTCGGCGCCGGCCGGGCTGGTGACCTGCCCTCGGGGCTCGGGGCTCGGGTCGTCTCGCCGTCCGAGCCCGAGCCCGAGCCCGAGCAGGCGCCCGATTCCCTCGGCTTGTGAGTCATCAGGTGCTGCTTCATGTTTCCCTGGGAAAGTGAGAGAAGTGCCAACCGATGATAGAATGTCTAAAACGCTTCGTGTTTAATGGGAAAATATCGGACCTTTGGGTAAGCTTCGCATTTACGTAGTTGTCAAAGCTTAACATGCACCTATATGATGATAAAGTGCGCATCTATTATTACTGAGCAGTCGCAAGGAGTTGCAGCAAAACGTCTGTCACTTTACTGATGGCACTTATGCACCTAGCGGTTATAGGTTATCTATTTTGCGGGTTTTCTAAAAAAAATCAGTCCCTTGGTATGTAGCCAATGGGTGACTATTTTGATTTCTAGTGGACTGACATGTAAAAGGTAAAAAATTTTATATGAAAAAATATAGGCTAAACCGACTTAGATATCCCATAAACTTCTTGTCGGTCAGTTGTACAAAGACCGTTCATTGCCCGTCCATTCTCCACGAAACTCATGCTTTAATAATTTGTCACGCCCATCCACCAGGAAAACATGGCTTGAACCAGCCATCGGACATAGTAAGCTAGCGCCATGAATGTGATGAAAACGTGCATTTAATTGATATCCAAAATGAGTTAATTTATGTTTAAAGAATGTTTTTGTCTCCACATAAGAATAGAGGTACCCGTCCAATTTAAATGGTCATTTAAACGGACAACTATTATTTCCCGTTTATTTTCTTGTGTAAATATTTTCTTATATAATTATATGCCTTCCTAAGACTTACGTACTCTGAAGTTCAGTTGCTCAGTTGAACTTGCCAAAACGGGACGGAAAAAAATATTACGGGTTCTAAGTAAACCATACTAAAAATGTGAGGGGGACCTTTGGGTTGCCAGCAATTGTCGGTCAAAATAAAACAATCGGCATCAGCGAGCTATCATGCAGCTTTATTTCATCAGTGCAGCAATTTTGCTGCAGTAGAGTCGCCTATTATCTTACTTAAACGTGATGAGTGCCTACAACCTATCGACCAACTTATCGTTCCCCGGTGGGTTATTTTATAGCTCTTTGCTTGAAGTTATGAGCTTAGCAAGAAGGAAACAGGATATGGCCGAATTCCCACTGAATATGTAACCGCGCATATCGAACTCGCATTCGGGAGCATGTAAGATATGCTTCCGCAGCGTTTGGAGCGTTGCGTGCTTAATTTCCTGCGATATTCATCGCATACTTTATATGTAGAGAATTGATGGTAAGCATTCGCTTTGGGCACTCGTCTCGCACCTGCTATGATATTAATGAAAGGAATCTAATCAAAGTTTGAAAATGACTTGGACTGCCCGTCTTTCTGCATCCCCAACTTTAAATTCAGTCGTAAAACTTCCCAGATCGTGTGATGGGCAGATTAATACATTTTCGCGTATGGCTGTTCAGCAAAGTTCACGAAACTTTAGCTATAAAATGAAGCTGCCAAACTTGTCGCATACCTGAAAGAAAAGTTTCCACATGGGGATTACAATAAACGACGCACCTTCGATGAGAACATAGACTTTGATAACGACGGCGTGAAGAACAGAACACTATGCAAGTGAAATGGGTGATTAAACTCCACTGCAAGGAAACGTTTGCTCGCCTCTTAAAAGTGAAAATATTGAATATCGTGAAATTCCTGGTATGGTTTTGATGCGACACGTCAATCGGAACCACCAGCATCACTGGTAAGGACGAAAAAGTAGCAACGATGTATTGAGCTCGCCATTTGTGCGAGAATCTCTTTGTTCGAATTTGGGTCCCTTCGTGATGATACGGTAACCACTCAATGTTGTATATACGGGATAGTAGGTATGTGGGACCTGACCTTCGAAGCCTCCTGCTTCGAGTGACCCGAGGGCTGGGTCACTTTTCACTCACCTTTGTACTGAAACCCTTGTCGCAGCGGGGACACTTGAAAGGCCGCTCCTTCGTGTGGCTGCGGTAGTGAATGTCCAAAGCCGACTGGCAGGCGAAAACCTTGAAGCACAGATTGCACGTTGTATTACCTCTCATCACTGTGAACACACCGTCAGAGGTAGCGTCACCGTGCGCCGTCCATCCGCCCTGCTGTCGGAAACTCCGCCCGATATATATCACCCGAGCCGCGCGACAGCTCTCAGAAAACCCGCCGCCCATTTTATAAATGCACATGTTTGCGACACCTGATGACAGATAGACGAGATTTATTGCCGTGAATAATTCAGGAGCTTAATTTCAATCGTGCTTCCCATCTAGCTAGCATTTTACTAATCACCCGTCCCGCCTGGCGTGCCTAGAAAAGCATTCAGCTGTTGCAATATGACAGAGGGTCCCCAACGTCCTCACGGATCTTACACTAGCCAATCAGCGCGTCTGACAGTGGTGACGTCACACTTACCTGGGTAACCGGCGACTCCGGGGAAGCGGGCGTCCAGTCCCCCGAACTGTCCGAACATCGGTCCGGACGTGAACGGGTTCGGAAACCCTCCGAGCGGCAGCCTCATCAGCGGCGAGGCGGCCGCAGAGACGGCGGGGGACGGGACGGCCGGCGCAGCAGCCGAGCGAGGCGTCAGGTCCAGCGGCTGGGCGCCAGTCTCGTCGGCGCTGCCGGAGTAGGGCGCCGGGGAGCCGGAGCCGGAGCCGGCGGCAGCCGGGGACACAGGTTCGGCGGGCTCGGCCGGCTGCGGGGAGCCGCTGCCGGCCGCCGCCGAGTCCATGGAGTCCTCCCCAGAAGCGTCCGAGCGCTCGCCGTTGGTGGCGGCGCCGCCCTCCTTGGTGCGGTTCCCGTTCTCGTCTCTGTCCCGGCTGCCGACCGAGAGAGGCCGCTTGGGTAGGTGCAGCGGGAATCCTCCCGGGAAGCCGGGGAAGCTGGGAAGGTGGCTGGGAGGCAGCGGGAAGCCACCGGGGAACATACCCGCCGGCGGGAACCCGGGCGCCAGGGGCAGCATCGGCTCCAGCACCTCCCCCGCTGCGATCTGCTCGGGAGTCATATCCGTGGGCTCGCCCGTGTGCAGCTTGATGTGCTGCTGCAGGATCAACCCGTTGTGGAAGCGTTTGTGGCACACGGGACACTGGTGCGACATCCGTACAGGTGGCTTGGAGCGGTGCACACCCATGTGCGTCTTCAGGTTACCCTTGGTGGTGAAGGCGCGGCTGCAGATCTTGCACTTGAAGGGCCGCTCACCGGTGTGTGTACGGTAGTGCATCTGCAGAGCAGACTTGCAGGAGAGTACCCTCTGGCAGATGACGCACTGGTTCGGGTCGGTGATCTTGTTCTCAATGTTGTCCACCAGCTGCTGCAGCTTGGACGTCTCTGAGGTCTTCTGCACCTCAATCAGCGCCTCCCACGAGTTGTCATTGACGCCCGGCTTGGGCAGCAGGTTGGTGTAGATGTTGGGGTGCTTGCTGGGGTCCACGTCCGGCGGCAGGTTCAACAGCGGGTTGAACGAGCCGGAGTGGAACGGGAACGCCGGCTGAGGCATGCTCGTCATCGGAAACGAGAACGGGAATGACGGCATCATACGCTGGCCGAGCGAGGCGAGCGCTGCAGAGCGGGGCACTGGCGGCGTGGCCGACTTGGAGAGGTTCTGCGGCCGCTCGGGCGAGTGGTCAGCCGGCTCGCTGTCTGAGCGCACAGCCGAGTCACGCGGCTCGCTCAGACGGCTGTCGCGGCTGCGTTCGTCCACCTCCGACCCAGGTTTCAGAGGTGCTCCAGAATCCTCCTCGATGGGCTCGCGCTTCACCTCAGGTTCGTCAGCACGTGGCCTCTTGGCCTCGTCCAGTCCCGCCTCGTCGTCCGCTGGCCGTTTGATCATAGGCGGCAGAAGACGGCGTAGAGACTCAAGCTCTCGCAGACGGTCACTCAGCGACTGCGTCACCGGGGGTGGCGGAGGGGGCGGTGGAGGCGTCACCCCCTCTCCAGACGGCCGGCTTACCCTCGGCTTGGTCAGACTGAGAGGCTCATCACCAGCCTCGGGCCACTCGGGGGTCGGAGGCTGCTGTGTGGTAGGCGGCAGCTGCGGCGGTGGTGGAGGCGGGGGTGGCGGAGGAGGCGCGGTTTTCCCTCGGTCGCCGGTCGGTCGGACCTTTTCACCAGGACTTGCGTCCGTCTCGTCGTTCAGTGCCCGCGAGTAGAGCGGCGGAGGCCCGAGCAGAGGTGATCCGAAGTGCGGCGGCGGCACCGGCGGCTGCGGAGTCTCCGGTAGCTCACCTAGCTGCGCCAGCAGCGGCGGGAAGAACTTATCCATGTGCTCTGGCACCATGTTGATGTTCATCTTGACGTGCGGGAATCGCGCGCTGTGCCGCTGGAAGTGTACCTTCAGGTTACCCTTGGTGGTGAAGCGGTTCCCGCAGATGTTGCACTTGTACGGCCTCTCTCCGGTGTGAGACCGGATGTGGATCTGCAGCGCCGAGTCGCTGCCGAACACCTTACCACAATAGCGACAGCGGTGCTTGAAGAACGGCGCCTCCTTGCGGTCGCCAGAGAAGCCTCCCGGCGCCTTGGTGTGCCGGTACATCTCATCGACCATGTTGTTGGCCAGGAGACCCTGGCTAGCGTTGCTCAGCACCTGCTGGGTGGTCTTCTGCAGGAGCTGCAGCGAGTTACCGCTCTCTGTCGGACCGTCATCCGTCGGCTGGATCACTGACGACGCCAGCGACGGTGGCGGCGGCGCTGACGACGGTGGTGGAGGCGGGGGTGGGGGTGGCAGCTGCGACGGTGGTGCACCGTCCAGTGGCTCCTCTTTGAGAGGCGGGGAGGGCAGCGGCGGCTCCGTCTGCCGGTCGCTCGGTGGCGGACTGCCGGCGGTGCGAGGCTCACCCTCCGACTCCGAACCATCCCGGCGCTCCTCGCTCTTGGTGATACGCAGTTGCGCCTGCAGTTGCTGGATCAGGTTCATCTGAAACACCTGCTGCTGCTGCAGGGTGAACAGCGTCGACTGCAGGATAGCCAGTTCCTGGAGAGCCTTTGGGTTGTGCGTGTTGTTGGCCACGGCCGAGGCGGTCAGCTGCGCCACCGCCATGCCGGTGCTCTGCAGCGACTCCAGGGACGGAGAGCCGGCCTTGAGGGCCTGCAGCAGACCAGGCAGCGCCGCCGGTGAGCCCGTCAGAGAAGCCAGCGAGCTGAGAGAGCTCGCCAGGTTCGCCTGAAGCGCGCCCAGTTTGGTCTCCTCGGTGATGAGGCGCGCGCGGGGGCTGTCCCGACTGGCGACACTGCCGGCCGGAGACGCCACTGAGCCGTCGGCTTCGTCCTGCTCGGCGTCCGCGGCCGGCTCGGACTCGGGACGACGCTCCTCGATCGGCGAGCGTCGGCCGTCGAGGTCGGCGCAGTCGACCTCCGATCCACCGCCTGAGGGCACAGAGAGAACGGAGCGTCAGTTACCTATGGAGCAAACAACCCAAGGACCGAATACATAAGACGTGCATGAGGTCCTCACCACCCCACACAGCGGCCAACGGCCTCCAAAGCACACCGCCTGAAAGAAGAGCACGTGAGCCGTCACCAGCGGGGGTCGCCGTCCCGAGAGGCGACCACCTGATCCATCTCGGCCGCCGCGATCCGATGATCCGGCCAGGCGCGCCGAAGCGCGTCGGACCGGCAGATGAAGGCGAACCGCGCAGGCCGCCCCCACCGGACCGGCGCGACATTACCAGCGCCATTACACGCCGCGATGGAGCTCAAAACGGGGATTATTCGGCGCACCAGATTATGACTCGGCCGGCGCGGCCCAACTTATGAGTGGCTGCGTACGGTGAAAGGCGCGATGCGCATCGTGGTGTGAAGCACGCCGCACCGATCGCATAACTATATACATATGTGCACGTGAGACTGGGTCTGCTCCCATTCAGCTCGGCGGCGCGGTGCGGTCGCAGCTCGGCTGGACGTCGGATTATGGCACCCATTGTGAGACCTCGATCGGCAGACGACGCGTCCCACTGCGCCGAAACAGCTCTACGTCAGATCTGCGCTGCCTCAAACTGGAGCGCACACGCTTCTGCTCGTCTCCGTTCGTGGACCACGGTTTGCCAAGCCAGTCTCTCGTGGCGTGTGGCCATGTTCGTCGATCGTCTCCCATCCGTGTTTCGTGGTGTCTCCGCCGCGTGCCATTCGTCTCTGCCGCAGTCGGCTCGCGCTCGTACGTCGGTCATGTTTCTGGGCCGCGCAACAGCAAAGCTAGACAAACAGGCGCCCACATAAACATGTTTAAACACTCATAAGCTTGCACCTCGGCTTTGACGGCGGGTTTCGATCGCTGTTTGCTTGTCTTGCTATTCTTAGCCGGCGGCGAGTTTGCGCGCCCGGCCGCGCCGCGGGCGCAGAGAGCTGCTCTGTTTCGTCGGCAGCGCGGTGACAGATGCTCTGCCCTGCCTCCCTCTCTCCCGTGCGTAGCTCGCGGTGCGGCCCGTGTCGCGGCGCCGGCCCCCGGAGCCGTCCGTCATCCCCGACAGGCCAGTGTCACCCGGAGCTGACGGATGCCGGACCGGTGACCGTGCCGCGGCGCATTGTGCACCGGCACGTGGCGCCCCTTCCGCCGCACCTGCGCCGCTAACGCCGCCAGGAGCGGCGCGTTACGCGTGACGTTCTGATGGAAAGGGTCGAGTGGGGTGAGGCATGGAGAGGTGCGAGATTCCAGAGACGGACGGGTCAGGCAGCACAGCTGATAAAGTTCTAATGACTTGGTTGGGTGGGACGTCGAGTGACATGGCTCTCTTCCATGTGGGAAAACACGTGCTGCAGTTCCGTACTTTTAACCTGCACAAGGGCTCCGCCACGGACTTTTGGTTGGGGGGGACGGTCTGCTCTTCGCCCATCGCCCTATTGTCTCCTCTAAACCTAGGGTACCCCCAAATTCAGTTTTCTCATCGGATTTAGGCCACTTGTTTTTCGTCATAGCCCTGATACGATGATTTTTTTTTTTACTAAAAAAAAGTAGAGAAATGTTAGGCCACCTGACCCATGCAATACCTATTAGGTACCCAATATTAGATTGCACCTTCCTCATATTGTCACACCAGACGAAAAAAATTGAAAAATAAACCTCAATTTTTTAATGGTATCTGGCTCATAGTTTTGCGCTGAATCTGAATCAGTTTTTAGCATTTGGCGAAGGTCGGGTCAGGTTAGGTGAGTTCAACAAGTGCGTCATGCGTGTCCCGCCGGCTAGCCAAAGTAGGTGTCAACCACCACAGACAGCTTCGTAACATGTTGCATTGGTACCAAACCTACTTCTCAAATGTTCAAATGGATGCTTAATTCGACATCATCTCCAAAAAGTTTCCTAGTAACATGCCTAACTCGAAAAAGTGAACCAAATTCATCTAACGGTAATGACCTTGACCTGATATTCACGTGACCTTGACACCAACCATAATGCATGTGTCTACCGTCATTTCAAATGTTGGCTCGGTTTTATGACATAAGTCTGGAAACGTTAGATAATGTGCGCTAACATACGCCGAATCGGTGTTTCGGCCTGACATGGTCTGGAGAAATAGGCCACAGGCCCAAGGGTCAGGGGGGCTAGGATCATGAAATTTTCAGGGGATGTGTAAAATTCCCGGGAAATACTTATAGTTTCGTCACGTTAAACCACTTTTTACGCGAGTTACTTGCGAAAAACTGAGGGATGGGGCAACCGACCCACCATAAGAACGAGGTTTAACCTCTCAAACACTGGAAACAAACATCTTCTCTCATCCTACAGTTCTGCGATATTCTTATTTGACCGATGGAAGTTTCCAAAGAACGAACGCGTTTACCCGAAAGAGTAATTTCCGACTCCGTGTTGCGCGTTTAATTGATTGAGAAATCCCTATCTGATCTGGATATACCTACTGGATTCATCATCGGAATGGCGCGTGTGATTGCGAACATTCGTCAGTAGACTCAAGTTGATATACCTAACGCGAAAACGCCTGTCGATATGGTCTACAAAAAAAAACTGAAATCCGTTGCCCCCATAACAGAAAAAGACAAAAAGCACAGCGACAATATAGTTATCGACGGCAGGTTAATTAAATTATCATTACCTATGTCTTTTTCTTCGGAGAATCTTTGCACCTATGTTCTGTTTTCGGTGTCAGTAACAAGAGTCGATTTATCTACCAGCAGTAGAGCCGATTATTGGGGGGGACAAAAGATAGTATGTCCCACCCAACATTTTGGTTGGGGGGGACATGTCCCACCCGTCCCCCCCGGTGGCGGAGCCCTTGAACCTGCATCACCTATTACGCGTTTCTGACTTCTGTCGGCCAGTGCCCTTCTGACAGGTCCGTCAGACATATCTGACAGTTATGCTGCTCTGTCAGGCGACTGTCCTCCAGACACCAGACGTCACCGGCCATCTGTCACTGACATTTGTTTCTGTCAGCCGACAGCCTGACAGGGACCATCCTTCAGGAGCGGTGGTCCTGTCAGCGGCTGTAGTGACCGGTAGTCTGGGGCCTGTGAAGGTGGACTGAGGTGCGGTGCCTATATCGGGGGACACATCTTTGGCGGGGATCTCCGATCTGCGCGACTCAGCAGCCAGATCAGACTTCATCTGATGGGGTTGCCGGTCTAGCCGTCTGACACGCGCGTCCCCCGTTCAGTCCTCGTGTGATGACCGATGTTCGCAACTGTTCTTAACCCGTTGACTGACGCCTCGGTCTGATCTCAGCTGAACGGTATACTGACCTGACCCCGGCACAGCCCCGGCTCGCTGTACCGAAGCGTCTAGCACCGAAATGCCTAAGTAGAATCGGGAAACTACATAGGTATTTCCGTAGCTAGCTAGCCTACGGTGGTAATTTCTTTTGCACCGACCCGTAACGTAAACATTCAGCTTCTCTGTGAAATATCTGATAAAATTGCCAGGGATGTTTTTCGTGGTTGTCCGGACTCTGGTATAGGCAAATTGACTCGCAAGTTACCTAGCTAGGTATTCAGGTGCAAGAGCCCTCTGACCTGACACCGGCCCGCTGACCGCCGCCCTGACCTGACCGCTGTTCTGACCTGACCTGACCTGACCTGACCCGACCTGACCTGACCTGACCTCTGACCTCTGCCCGCTGACCGCCGCCTCAGCCGTCCTATCCGCTCAGCGCGGCTATGACGCCGCGGCGGCCGTCGCCGTCCGACGGGCATTGATTGGTGACGGCTAGCAGGCTGTGCGCCGCCGGCAGCGCCGCGCCGATAAAATATGGACTCGTTTGCAGGCCGCTGCACGGCGGGCGGCCATCGCGAGCCGCGCGGCGCCGGCCGCCATTGGACGAGCGGCGCGCTCGCATCCGTGATCAGGGCCGCCGGGCCGGCAGCGCGCTGCACTCCGCCCCCTCCCGGCGGCCGGCGGCCCACCGCCGCGGCCGGCGGGACGAGCGGTGACGCCGTCCGGCCACTGTCCTCCGTCCACGCAGCGCTGAGCGGACAGCTGAGGGAGAGGCCGCCGCCGGGTACGGTCGCGGCAGTTATATTTTATGACCGACCGGTCTTGGATAGGGCTGGGCTGCAACGAGCACGGAGCTGGTAGTGGTGGTGAAGCGTGCTTTTCCGCCAGAGGCACTCTAACCATGCATGATGCAGCTTGCGCTGTCCGTTTATTGTCAAAGTCAGCACACTGGCCAAGGCCTGCTGTTTTGAGCTGCACACGCACTACGGTCTTACTAGCCTAGCACTACCCTCCCCCCTCTGTCATCCAATTTGCGACGTCATCGGGTGGCTCCTCCGCCCAGGTCCGTTACGCGCAAAACGACTTCCTGTCGTGACCCGTCACGGACCGTGGCCATGTGACCTGTGCGTCACGTTACCGGCCACCCTGGGGCCTGCCGACCGTCACAACACACTCAGTGTAACGGTGCAGCGCAACTGGTGGCATTGTGACGCCTACGCGCGACGTGCCACATGCTTTCTCTAGAAAGTCTCTTCAGGTGACTGGCCACAGGTCACTGCAGGTCACTGGTCAGGACTTTCTGCCAACTACGAACGGGGTCGTTTTTCTTGAAACCTGTATGCATAGACGAGAAGGAATGCAGTTTTCTGTCTCTTGCTCATGCCTTCCGCGGCGGCGCTCGCGGCCTCGCCCCGACAATTTTCCGCCCAATTGCAGCATCTCCATATGAAAGGGTGGCCTGCTCGCGCCCGTCATATGCTTTCGGTGGGTACAAAGGGCGGTGCGACGGCCGACAACCCTTTGGATAATCCGACCAGGCGGCTGGCGACACTGTATCAGTCGATCGCGTCGATCGGGGTCGAGCCGCGTCGGGACCGCCGGCGCAGCCGACACAGCCATTGGCTGTCAGAGGGGCGCCTGGGACACGAGGGGGGAGGGGGCCGCTAAAACGACACAGATGGAGCAGCTTAAAAACGACACA